GAAACCCCCACCCCGGCTTGGGCCCCGGGGATCCCCGCGTGACAACACTGGCGGCAGCCCAAGCTCAGCGGACTGCTGAGGCTGACGCCGTGGTGCGAGATAAGCGGAACGCCATTTGCATGGAGTCCTTGGCTATGAATGAGAGTCAGTGGACGACACTGCTCCAAGGCATGCTGTTTGTGCCTTCGGATACACAGGCGGATCCGACACCGGCAGAGGAAGAAAGGAGCAACCTGGCTAACCTGATGTTGAATATGATGCGAGCGATCATGTGGAACAATACGATGTTAATGGTGTAAATACACGAGGGCCGACAGCTGCGACAGATTCAGCAGAATGATTCTGCAGCCTTAACAGCTGCTGTTCGCGCTGCCGCCACACATCAGCAACAATAGCAACAGCTGTTGAGCACCACCACCACACACGTCAACAACATCAAGGCTACGGCCTCAGCAGCGCCAGGCTGCACGACAGACGCAATGAAGCAGCTCAGCGAGCGCATCGATCATGTCGTCACTATCATCGGCGAACTCAATGATTTCACCGGTCCGGCTACGATCAGCAGCACGGTGGCCGCCATCAAGACGGACATCACCAAGCTGCAGTCGCAACCGGCAGCAGCTGCGAAGGTATGCAAGATGCCACGGTTCAACATCGGCAAGTTTGAGGACTACAACAAGACCGACGCTTTGACATGGTGGCAAGCCTTCCTCACGGAAGCATCATGCCACAAAGTCCCAGCCGAAGACATGATGAAGGCCATATACCTCCAACTCATTGGAGGGGCACAAGCATGGATGAACCACCTCGCAGTCAACAAGAAGACCACTATCGCCGAACTACACAAACACCTCACGTGGGAGGAGTTTGAACAGCTGTGGTTCACTCGCTTCATGGTACGCAACGTCGTAAAGGCGGCCATGAACGAGGCCTGCACATGCTCACAAGGAAGCATGCCAACTCGAGACTGGACAATCAAGTGGCAGAAGATAATGACCACGCCAGGCTTCAATTTGAGCTTTACGAATCAACGATCCGAGTTTTTCTCGCGATCGTGCGCAGGACTGCGAACCGCACTCGGCAACGAGTACGATTACGCCTCATTCCAGGCTATCCTGGATCGTGCGAACTTGGTCATCCAAACGGATGACAAGGCCGCAAACGAACGGCAGTCCCAACCGCACTATGTGGCTAAGCAGGGCTATCAACGACCGACACATAACAATGCCATGACTTCTGACGAAACAGTCGATCTCCACGCTGCAGCAGCATCCTCGAGTGATGGAGGAATTGTAGCAGTGCTCCCGCCGAAGCGTCCCAAGAGAGTTCGGAAGAACAAGGCGACACAAGAGACGGCATCGACAGGAACTGGGCAGCAGCCATGGACGGCATACAAGACAACCAAGGAAATCTTTGACTTACGTCAACGGTACGGTTATTGCCTATGGTGCAATAGTTTCGTACACACTACCGCACAATGCCCGGACAAGGGCAAGGCACGCGTACCCCGTCCAGCAAACTCGGGAAACTGAGTTACACAAGGAGAGGGGCGACGTCTCTCCTCACTCCGCCAGACCTGGTTGCCTTCTAGCAATCGATGTCACTACCGGGGAGCATGCATTAGTCGCTGATTCTCGTGCTACGTACGAGGATTATGCCGCCCAGTTGGTACCACCACTAGACCAGCCGAGCCACGTGCACTTGGATTGCGTATGCGCAACCTGTACACCGTCGGCAAGTGATCAGGTCAGTTCGCCACTGATTTCTGAGGATTCGACGGCGTGGTCAAGACTTGAGGAGCTTGACCTGCTCACGAGAGAGGACTTCGCTTGGATGCCTCTACCCTCGATCGGAACCTTGCCAAGGTCGCATTGCAACGCCTTAATGGCAAATCTACGCTCCTATTTGCACACTACAGTACCAGCTCCGTTGACGGACGACGGAGTAACGGTTGTCGATCTCCGCTTCTATCTTGCGAAGATTGACCGCGAGCACGCGACCCAAAGGTACACCGAAACCGACACCCCTTCGCTCTATATCCGCATTCAAATCGGAAAGGCAACCTGTAGTGCCTTGATTGATTGCGGAGCGTCTCGCAACTTTATGAGCCAAGCCTTTATGGCCTGCGCAGGTCTTGGCCCGCGCGTTCGAAGGAAGACGCAACCTACGCAAGTTACACTCGCGGACGGCCGCACGCAAAAGTCAATTGACCGATGCGTCGACGGCGTCCCGGTATACTTTGCGCCACTTGCGTTCGAGCCGCTGTCTTTTGACATCCTCAACACCAAGTTCGACATGATTCTAGGCATGTCTTGGTTGCGTAGCGCCGATCATCCGGTGAACTTTCATGACCGAACCGTTCACATCCGTGATCGAAACGGTGTTAGTCCTATGCACGGTCGCGACCCCTCACACTTCGATTGCTTGTCATGTGGTTTCCGTTGTGAGAATTCGCGACGCCATAGCTCAAAATGACGTCGAGGAGATGGGCCTTGTATTCTTGCATGCTCTCCCCTCGCCGGACGGACCAGCCGCGTCACCGGTGAACCCACGCATCACTCACGTCTTGGACGAGTATGGAGACGTCTTCGAGGCTCCCACCGGAACGGTTCCGGATCGGCCCATACGTCACGGGATCACTCTCGAGGCTGGCGTCGTCCCTCCGCGTGGATGTATCTACCGCATGAGCGAAGAGGAACTCGAGGTGCTTTGCGCACAACTCGATGACCTTCTCGACAAGGGCTGGATTCGCCCTAGTTGATCGCCATACGGTGCCCCTGTTCTCTTTGTCCGGAAGAAGAACAAAGATTTACGGTTATGCATCGATTATCGCAAACTTAACACACAAACCGTAAAGAACGTCGGCCCTCTCCCTCGGATTGATGATCTTCTTGAGCGGTTAGGCGGCGCGACGTACTTCTCGAAGTTGGACTTGAAATCGGGTTACCACCAGATTGAAATCCAGCCTCAAGATCGGTACAAGACCTCGTTCAAGATACGGTACGGGCATTTTGAGTGGGTGGTCATGCCTTTTGGCCTCACCAATGCCCCCGCAACTTTTCAAGCAGCTATGACGACTGAGTTTCGCGACTTGCTCGATCACAGCGTCCTCATCTACCTCGATGACATCTTGGTCTACAATAGGACATTGGACGAGCACATCACACACCTTCCCGCTGTTTTGAATCATTTGCGACTGGCCAAGTACAAAGCGAACCGCGACAAGTGCGAGTTCGCCAAGCAGGAGCTTGAGTATTTGGGCCACTATGTTACGCCGAAAGGCATTCGTCCATTAGCGGACAAGATCCAAACCATCGTGGATTGGCCGGAACCCCATTGCACAACGGATGTACGCTCTTTCATGGGTTTGGCTGGATATTATCAGCGATTCGTCGAGTCATACTCGAAAGTGGCCGCTCCTTTGTCGAGACTTCAGTCCCCGAAGGTGCCCTTCGAGTTCGACGACGCAGCCCGTGGCGCGTTCACTACGTTGAAGGCAGCAATGCAAGCACCTGCCCTCCGTATATACGACCCCACCCTACCCACCCAAGTGACTACGGACGCTTCGGGATACGGTATTGGTGCGGTGTTGGAACAGTGTCACGAGGACGGTTGGCATCCGGTCGAGTATTTCTCCCAAAAGGTGCCTCTCGTCAACACTCTCGACGACGTTAGGAAGAAAGAGCTACTCGCGTTCGTCACCGTTCTCAAACGGTGGCGCCACTTTCTTCTCCGTCGTCGGCGTTTTAAATGGAATACGGACAACAATCCGTTGACCTTTTACAAAACGCAGGATACGGTCACTAGCACGATCGGTCGATGAATGTATTACATCGACCAGTTCGACTTTGACCCGTGCCACATTCCCGGTCCCGCCAATCGAGCTGCAGACGCCCTCTCATGACGGCCCGATTTTTGTGCCATTGTGATCACGACATTCGACCTCGAGGACGATCTGCAGCCGCATTTCGTCAAAGGCTACAAGTCCGATCCGACTTACTCTATACTTTACGCGGAGCTTTCATCGGATCACCCGTCGGCTAGCCACTATCGGATTTCCGACGGGTTCCTTCTCCTTCACACGAGAGGAAAGGACTTGTTAGTTGTGCCCCAAGATCGCATCTTACGGACTCGTCTTCTCGACGAATTCCACGACGCATGACTTTCGACACACCTTGGCGTGAATCGCACATTAGCATGCCTTCGCCAGCGTTTTCACTGACCCGACGTCCTTCATGACGTCACGAGGTACATTGAGTCATGTGCAGTTTGCCACCGTAACAAGGGTCGATCTCGAGTCCCCTTCGGCGAACTGAAACCATTGCCGATTCCTCGGGCACCGCGCCTCTCCATTGCTATGGACGTAACAGGCCCGTTCCCCCGCGATCACCATGGCCATGACGGTATTCTCACGGTTGTTGACTGTTTGAGCAAGTACTCTCACTTTCTTCCTTGCAAGTATCATGCTGCAGCGCCAGAGCTCGCACGACTCTTGCACACCGGTTGGATTACCAACCAGGGTGTTCCGGAAGACATAGTGAGCGACCGAGATACTCGCTTCATGTCGGCCTTTTGGACTTCCCTCATGGCTGAGTCCGGTACGACAATGAAGCCGAGCTCGGCTCGGCACCCGCAGTCGGATGGCCAGACGGAGCGAGCGCACCAGACCGCACAAATGATGTTGCGTACGCTCATCTGTCCCCACCAGAAAGATTGGGTTGACCAGCTTCCCGACATCAAGTTCGCCTATAACACTCCGGTGCACCCGGCGATCTGCGTCACACCATTCGAGCTACATCATGGTGGAGAGAAAACACGGATCTTCGCTGATCTCCTTTTGCCATAGGCTGCCGGCATAGACGTCCCTTGCTCTCAAATCCCCATTGCAAAAGCCCGGGACTTGCTGATCAAAGCCCGCGCGAATATGCAAAAGGCTCAAATCCGCATGCAACAGCAAGCTAACCGACGTCGACTTCCATGTCCTTTCCGCGAGGGAGACCTTGTTTGGGTCCTCTCCGAGGAATTTGCGCTCGAGCAGGACGTTTCGTGCAAACTCCTTCCGAAATGGTTCGGACCATGGGAAGTCACTTCTGCCATCGGAGACGTCCCCGCAGGTCCTTCCTTCGTGATCAACATTCCTCCGCACCTGACAGTGCACCGGGTCTTCCACGCGTCGAAGCTGGCCATCTACACGCCACCTTCAGCTGTCGAGTTCCCCGGCCGTCGATCACAGGATCCGCCTTCTATGGACGGACATCAGGAAGTGGACCGAGCATCACGCACCGCAAGTATGGCAACAAGCCAATGCAGTACAAAGTCACATTCAAGCAATGTGCGCCTGACGACACTGGGTGGATCTCTAGTGCAGACTTGCAGACTTCTGCACCCCTTATCTTCGCCGACTACGGGAAGCGACGCCTTGCCAAGGAAGCAGCTCGTCCCACCCGACCCATCCCGGTATCGGACAGACAACTTCGCCCTCGCAAGTAGCTCGGTCTTTTAAGAGGGGGAGTGTGTTACATCTTCGACACCACACGGGTCCTACCGGACCCGACTTAGGGCCAGAGGGACACATTAGGGCCTAAAGGCCCGACCTTGGGGACTACAGGCCGTAAAGGCCTCATCTTGGACCAGACCCGATGGGCAGGCCCAAACGACATTACCGTTTGGGCCTGGCGGCGCTCTTGAGGCTGCCGCCCGCCGGTTGGGGCTGAACCGTCCATCTGGATGGTTCAGGGCACGACCAGGCCTCGCAGCATAGAGGCCGGCCTCTGCCCACCGGTACAAAGGTACCGGTCCGGCCTCACTCCGGCCATCGAACCACCGGCAGTCCATGCGGTGCGTTATGGTTAGCGCCAGAGCGCTAGCGCTATTCTTAGCGCAGAAGTGCGAGGAGCAGCAGCGGCAGCATTAGCGCAGCAGCAACAGCGGGAATGAGCATATTGGCGGCCATAGCCGCCTGAGGTACTGGGAGTCGGGGGTTCTCTCCTCCCTCCCGTCGCCAATCCCCTCTCTCTCTCCCTCCTCCTCGACTCCCTTCTTCTTCTTCCTCTTCTTCTTCTTCTTCTAAAGACTTTTTCTCCTTCTTCTTCATACCTCTTCTTCTTCTTCAGACTTCTTCTACTTCTTCAGATTGGAGACTTCATACTAGTTGGACAGAGATCAGTGTTGGACTTCGGTGGTATGAGACTGTGGTACTTACCGGATTCGAGGCTTGGAGATTGTTGGGGTTGATACTCGGCGGCATCACAGTTCGGACACCAATTACATTTGGACTCTGTATCTCCGACATTGGTGACTTATTGTCCTCGACATTTTGATCTTGTTTGATGACATTTTGGATTACCATATCGGTGACCTTCGGTGCTGCCTACCTCCCCCACCTCCTTCGTCTCTCCTCCCACCTTTCATCTGTGTATGCGTGTACGGGGTCTGGGCATCTTCCATGTATGGCTCAGACCCCACCATCTCACGATTGTATGTGTGTGGAGTGATATCTTTGTGAGTCAGTCTATGTGAGTCAGCCCGTTATCAGACTTCCGCTGCATACATGTTCATCCTATATTGGTTGGTCTTTGGTTCTGCCCCATACTCGTTGATGTTCTCACGAGTATGTAACAAGAACTCTCTCTCTCTCTCTCTCTCTCTCTCTCTCTCATGTGCGAGGCACTAACCTGTGAAGATGGTGCCGTGCTGCAGGTACCTCGAAGACGAAGCTGGAGCTATGGCACTGCAGGTAAGTCTTCCTGGTCTCCACCCAATCCCTCTCTCTCTCCAGTACTACTCTAGCTCCTACTAGCGCCCAGCGCTGAAGACTACCGGTAACACTGCTACTACTACTGCAGCGCTCCTCCAGAGTGCTGCTGCCGAATCCTGAAGACTACCTCCTGCCTCCTGAACTGCACGTGAAGTGCCTGGGAAGTCCCTATGAACTACCTGCAGCCTGCAGGGCAGGCCAGTCTTATATAGTGTTGGCCCGTCCAGGAGGCTGCTCTTGCCAATGCCAAAACGTGGCTGACCCTGGCGTTGAAGCTCAAAGAAAGGTTGTCTTGAAAACAGGCCCAAAATGGCCTGTGCTAAAACCCTGGTCTGGTGCCGAAGTTTCAGGGCAGGTTGATCTTATGAGGGTCTGAAAATGGCCCTTTTTTTTTTTTAAACAAACACCCTGAGTAAATGCTAGGATAGCTGATAAGAGCAGACTATCCTAGCATTCTCTGAGCGGCTCCATCTATTGGTGGGGAGCGGCACCTGCTGGAAATCGGGTCCAGCGTCCCTCACATTGACAATTTGGATATCTTTGAGAACTGCATGCCCGATAGTCTCTGATCACGAGTTCTGTTGTAGAGGACCTCTTCACCCTCCCCTAAGGCGTCAGATGTTTCAATCCTACCTAGACCTTACAACAGTTAGGAGTAGTTGATGGGAATATTGACTATCCTTCCTCCTCCTGTCCATCTGCTACTGAGTCTCTTCCATACCATGATAATGGAACTAATGCATTCTGAAGGAGCGTGAAAAGGCTAGGGAATTCATTCGTCGGACGAAGAGGAATCAATAGGTTCACCTGCGTCCACTCATTAAACTGAAGTTTGTAGTCCCTGATAAGTACCTGCTCCCCTTCCATCCCTACTCCCTCCCAATCCACCCGTCCTATTTTTCCCCCTTTTTCTCCCCCCAGCCAATCACTGCTGAACTTTTGAAAACTTTTCTTGATTTCAGCTTTGGAAGAGTTGAACTGGATTTTCTCTTTCATCGTGATCCATTGGTCGAGAATTTCTGTTTGGATTTGTTGTTTTATGTTGTCGTTAAACTCAGGCCCA